AAAGGGGAAGTAGTACTATAGTTGTCCACTTCTGGGTGATACCTACACAATATAAAGAACCAGGACATTCTCCTCCTTGGTTACAGGGTACATCCCGTGAAGTTGTACAAGCATGCTTGGCAATTGATGGCTTGTAACAGGAGCAGAAACCATAGGCATTTATGTAACTCCATGTAACTTGCTTGAGCCTGAGCACACACATGCACTTCCTGTGATGATGGACTGCTGCTGTGCACACTTCCTTCCATGGCTTGCTCATGACAGGCAGCTAAGGTCAGATGGTAACTTGGTGGCCCATTGTCATACATTCAATTTCCACGAAGGCCCAATTGTTGTAGAATATTATTTTAAGGTGTGTTGCTTTTATTTACGCTACATTATGTATCTACTCTGTGAAGCTGTGAGTCTTGCCTGTCTAAAACACCTGACAGTCTAATAAAGAGCTAAACGGCCAATAGAGAGACAGGAGCAAGGACTGGTGGGGCTGGCAGGCAGAGAGCTAAATAGAAAGAGAAATCTGGAAGAGAAGAAGGAACAAAAGAACAAGGAGAGGAGGATGTCAGGGGCCAGTCACCCAGCCGGCCAGTCACCCATGGAGTAAAAGTGAAAGTAAGATATACAAAAGAAAGAAGAAAAAAATTCAGAGCCAAAAGACAGACAGGAAATTAAAGGAAAGCTGCTGGAAACAAGCCAGACTAAGGACCAGCATTATAAAAAGAATAAGACTCTGTGATGACTTATTTGGGAGCTGGGTAGCAGGCCCTCCCAAAAGAGCCAATAGAGTTAAAGCCAAAGAATAAACCAATCAACAACAGTTTGAGGTTCCAACGTGAGGCTAAAGTAAAAGAAAACCAACAACACCCAATAGCATGCCAAGCACCGCCTCTCAAAGGGAGAACAGTTGTCTGCAGATGATGGCAGAGCCTTGCTCCAAAATCCCAGAGGTCTCTCCTGTGATCCACCTGTAGGGGCTGACAAAGACTCCGGACAGCATCCCTGTCTGCTAATGGCACCTCAGGTGACATCATGTCTGCTTGATCACATGGTCTAAGTGGTGGAGGAGCCTGCACAGCAGTCGGGACCTGCTGAAAGCCTTCTCCTGTTCCAGCCCCACTCCAAGCTTGCAGCTTTCAGAGTCATTTGCTACATGGGCCAGAAACACATCCAGGTGAGGAATATGCCATCCCTAGAATCCAAACAGGACCACTAAACATTTCCTCCTTCCTTGGTGGTAGGATATCATCATGCCCCACACCGCTGGGCTCCTAAAAAAATTCACCAAGAATTTCGAGGGCTCTTGGATTTTGGTTGGATTTACTTCCCCAGTCTCTGATGCACAGATGCGTTATCAGTGAGTACAAACGATTGCTATCTCCTGCTCACTTAGTCCAATCAGCATAATGTCAATTTAGTGCACCAATGTAATATTTTGTAGAAGAGACAGATGATGAAGATCCCTTCTAACAAAGTTATGACAGAGCGCGAGAGTTTATATATCATTGAGGTAAAACTGTAAAAGTATACTGCTGGCCTTGCCGATGGAAAACAAACTTCTGGTGGTCTTTATGGACAGGTACCAAAGAAAAGGCATGTGCTAGATCAGTAAATATATACCACGTATGAGGAGATGTGCGATTCTGCTCAAGAAAGGACGCAATTCTTGGCATAAAGTTTTTGATAGTCAACTGTCATTCTCCACGATCCATCTATCTTCTGCACTGCCCAGACAGGAGAGTTAAAGGGAGATCGATAGGAGCCACCACCCGTGCATCTTTCAAGACTGTGATGATAGCACTGAGCTCTGCAGTTCCTGCTGGGATACAACACTGTCTTTATCCACTGCGTTCCCTGGCAGAAGCAACTCTAACGGCCTCCATTGCTCTCTCCACCCACAAGAGCCCTTGCTCCACAGGTCAGGGAACCAATGTGGGATTCTGCCAACTTCTAGGTATATCTTTCCCAATTATACATTCTGGGAATGGGAAAACCACCACAGCATGGGTTTAGGGACCTAATGGACCTGTGAGCTAGACTTCAGCCCAAACTTATTAATCATCTGATCTTCATAAGCCCCAACTTTAACCAGAGGGTCATAATGCTTCTGGGAGTCTCCCCCAGAATCAGTGTCCATTCGGACAGACCCTGGAAAGCCTGATTATTTCCTTTCCCTCGGTGTCCAGTCACCCTTGTAAAAGGCTGTCAGTCCCTCTGGGGAAGGACTGGAGAAGGACTAACAGTAAAACGCAGGTATTTCATCAAGGTCTTTCCCCAGGAGAACCTGGCCATCCCATCCTTCATTCAAGGTCTGCAAAGTGGCTCAGTCTAGAAATTTGTTCACAGGCTGAGATTTCCTTTTGCCATAATCCAATGTAGTCTTGATTTGTTGGAGAATTTTTCTCCTTATATAGAACAAACAAAAGTGCAATATACCTTCTAATCTATTTCATTCCTGAAAGCACCATGATTAAATAGCCGATACCAAGGGTTCATCTGAGACACGCCACCACGCTGCCCATGAGGGTTTAGGCTGCCCACTGCTTTGCCTGGGCTGACCATTGTGCTAGCTGGAATCACCTTGCCTTTGGAGTTCAGTGCTGCCACCTGGCCCCAACTACTTCAGGGCCCAATTAAACCCACTGCACTTAATTCATCCAGCTGAGCAGCAGCATCTCCAGCCCTAAGGTCTGGCACAAGGAAGGGGTGACAGCAAGGCTCTCCAAATGGGCTGATGCCCCCTCACCATTTTATGTCTTATAGGATTCGTGAAGAACATGTCTCTTCTGTGTCCCCACAGTGAAGGACAGGCTTTACAGGGTGCCCACTCCTGCACTGCAATTTTCCTCAGTCTTAAAATCCCTTCATTGACCCTAAGCCAAGGGATATCAGGCACCTCCACCTTACTTTTCAGCGGGCCATCTCCTGACAAATGCTTCAGACAACCATTCAAACAAATGCTTGGCATTTTTTTTTTTTTTAACTGAGAAAGCGTCTACACCAAACCGAGACTCTCCATTCAGTGAGCCCATAGCAAAAAAACTCAGCCTGATTCAGTTTTATGCTCCGTTCACATCCTACATCCTTAAAAATCCATTTCCACGCATATTCTCCAGACTTCTGCATGAATAAATTATCAAACTCATTACACTCTCTCATATTGCAGTGAACCTCCTTTCTATCTCCCCTCTAAAGAGCTGCTTAGCCTTCAGTCTGGTTACAGGTCTAGAGGTAACTACTGGTGGACCCTGGGGTCATCAGTATTACCTTGCCTAGCATATCCTTAAGGGAAAAATGACTGCTGGTTTAGCAGATGAAAAGGGTTTCGTTTCCTCAGTTGAGGGCAGCAAAGGCAATATTTCAGGGGGTGGGGGAGAATACATTTTCTGCTGAGGATGAAGTGACTACCTCCTCAAGAGAGAGAAACCCTCAAGAACCTGAAGGTTCAGAGTTCTTAGCCTCAGCAGGCTCCTCCCACACATCTCCACCCTAAGTACAGGATCCCTTTTTCTACCATTAGTGCCCCTACTTTAACACCCTCAGAGGCTGGCACTTGAACATTCTATGAAACTCAGCCAGTCACATAAAGAAGGCTGTGGTTTGATTTTTTGCTCCTTACGCTCGTTGTTCATTGCTGTGTTCTGGATTCTAGAAGTTTCATCACAGAGCATATTCTTTCCATTACCAGTTTATCCAAAGATGCTTGGAGCAATCAACCAGTATCATCATTTTCCTGATTTTTCTAGAAACTGTCAAAAATTTCACACATAAAGTCACCAAATCAGTTGCCTCTCACAATTGGTGAATCAAGATAATCAGATGCATTTGTCTCAAGTTTGTAAAATAGTTCATATTGTGGGCTTTCAACACTGTCCAAGTGTCTAGGAGAAGCTCCATAACTGGAGAGGCTTCAGAGTAGGTGTCAGCAAATTGGAAAACTTATTCTAGATACTTAAAAAATTCATCCTCATACTTCTATTGCTCTGGAATCACTTCTGGATATATATCACTAGATAGACGATGGATGGATGGATGGATGATAGAAAGAAAAAAATAGGTAGATAGGTAGATGATAGATAGAAGGAAGGAAGGAAGGAAGGAAGGAAGGAAGGAAAAAAAGAAAGAGGATAAGGAAAGGAGGGAGATGGAGGGAGGGAGGAAGGAAGAGAAAGAAAGGAGGATTTGTTAGAGTGGCTGACAAGCTATGGTCCAGCTAGCCCAATGGGAAGTCCAAGAAGCCAGCAGTTATTCAACCCATGAGGCTGGCTGTCTCAGCTGGTCTTCAGGATACGCTGGAATTCCAAAGAAGAAGCTCTATGCCAGTGAAGGAACGGACGAGGACGGGCAGAGAGAGCAGGCTTCCTTCTTCCCTGTCCTTTACACAGGCTTCCAGCAGAAGGTGTGGCCCAGATGAATAGGAATCTTCCCACCTCAAAAGATCTGGATTAAAAGGGGATCTTCCCTTTAAATGATTTAATCAAGAAAATAATACCTCATGGTTCTACCTAATCACTTGTGTTTTTGTTAATTCCAGATGTAGTCAAGTTGACAACAAAAATAGCCATCACAAGGATATTATTATTGATCATTTTCTATTATGTGCCAAAAGTTTTTACAATTCTTTTGTGTGTGTGTGTGTGTGTGTGTGTGGCTGGAGAGACAGCCGTGGATGCTGGGAACAGAACTTTTACATTTTTGGTTGTGAGTGTTACCTTTAACAGCTGAGCCATCTCTCCAACCCTACAATTCTTAAAATATGTACTTACGTATTTGATAGGGTTTCCTATGTACCAGATGTCCCTTTAAACCTCTGCAAATACTGACTACTTTAATCCACACAATAACCTAATGAAACATGTTCTGTTATCCCCATGTTACAAGCCAGAAAGTTAGGAACAAAATTTAGGAGACTTTCAAAATCAGGCAGCCTGGTTCCAGGGTTTATGTTGCTATCACACACACACACACACACACACACACACACGAATTCACAGACACAAACTTACGGTCTCTTGTCGGCCAATCCTAGCTTTCTCGATGCTCTTCTGCAGGTCTGCATGCTTCTGGCTTCCCTCCAACAGCTGAGAGAGAATCAAGCAGATAAAATGGTTTGCTAAGAAACTGCCTGGCAGACAGGATAGAAGATAAAATCAAACAGACTGCCGGTTCAGCTCTAAAGGCCACACTGAAAACTAATGTTTCTAATTTGAAGAAGATTATCAATCATTAGAGCAGAAAGAAAGAAAAGTGTCTTAGGGTTACCACTGACTAGACGGAACGGCCATGGCTGAAAGGAAGAGGGGGAGGAAAGGTTTTATTCGGCTTACACTCCCACATCCATAATGCATCACCGAGGAAGTCAGGACAGGATTGCAAACAGCAGGAAGCTAGAGGCAAAAGCTCATGCAGAGGCCATGGAGGAGCTCTGCTGACTGGCTCAGCCTGCTTTCTTACAGCATCCAGGACCTCCTGTGCCACCCACAATGCTGGGCTCTCCTCCATCTATCACTAAATAAGAAAATGGTGTACACTTTTAATCCCACCACTTGTGGGGCAGAAGCAGGTTCGAGGTCAGCCTTCTCTACAAAATGACTTCCAGAACAGTCAGGGCTACACAGAGAAACCCTTCCTGAAAAACAAATAAAAACAGTCTGTGTCGGTTGGCATAAACATTAGCCTACACAAAAGGAAATGTTTTATTTCATCCCCCCAAAAAGTCTTTTTTTTCCCCTAATTTCTGTTGTTCTGGACAAGGTCTCACTACATGGTCCTCACTAGCCTGGAACTCAAAGAGAATAATCTGCCACTGCCTCTCCAGGAGCTGGGACTGAAGGCCTGTGGCTCTGCTCCCAGTCATGTCTTCAATATTTTACATAATCGTTAGTTATTTTTCCATCCCTAACCCAAATAACCTCTAACTTAATAAACTACCTCAAGTTACTTTAGTTTTCAGTTGGATTTGAACATTCAAAAATATCTCCTTTAAAACTCTGTACTCAAATTTCATTTTACTTTTGACTAAGGTCTCTGGAGGATACCTCAGGCTGCTTCCTGTTGACTTGTACTCAGTCAGCACTATCTCACCACAGTTAGCCAGTACTATCTCACTACAGCCAGTCAGTACAATCTCACTACAGCCAGTCAGTA